TAAAGATAATAGTTGAATAGGTTCTAAAATTGATGAACAGTATCAAACCACAGATCCAAAAAACTCAGTGAATCCTCTTTATCCCTCTGCAGCAGGATAACTACAAAGAAGAAATCTAGGCACAGCTGACTTCTCGTTACAACAAGGGAAGCCAGGTAAAGGAACATTTTTAGTTAATGAAAGGAAAAAAACCTGCCAGTTTAGAATTCTTTATCCAGTGAAAATATTTCCCAAAAATGTAAAATAAGGACATTTTTAAGATTAAAAACAGAGAAATTCATCACCAACAGTCCTGAACTACAAGAAATGTTAGACTTCAGGCTGAGGGAAAATGATCTTAGATGGAAATATGGTTTTGAAAAAAGGAATGAAAAATACTGGAAATGGTAAATATAGAGGACTATTTTCCCCTTAATTTCTTTAAAAGTCTACTGTTTAAGAAAAATAATAAAAATTATATAAAATATACATAAGTAAAACAGTTAACAATGGCATAAAGACCTCAGGGAAGGGAATCTTACTACTGTTCCCTGCGAGTGCAGTGGTTAAGAATCAGCCTGCTAATGCAGGGCACATGGGTTTGACCCCTGATGTGGGAAGATCCCACCTGCCATGGGGAAACGAAGCCTGAGTATCACAGCTACTTAGCCCGTTGCTCTAGAGCCCATGCTCTGCAACAAGAGAAGCCACTGCAATGAGAAGCCTGCACACGGCAACAAAGAGCAGCCCCTCACTGCAACTAGAGAAAGCCCACATGCAGCAACAAAGATCAAGCACAGTTAAAAAAAAAAAAAGTCTAAATAAATAAATGTTCAACTTGAAAAATTAGAAAAAGTATAGGAAATGAAATACTATAAAAGAAAATCTCCCAGTGTATTGCATATAACAAGAGCAAGTTTTATTTTGTGAAATTTTAGCTGTATGTGTGCATACACATGTTGTGGCTCTCAGTTTCCAAGTAAAATCTTTCTGTGGTCAAAATCTTTTTGAAAATATCGTTTAAAGGTTTAAGTGTTTCCATATAAGTCAACCCAGATTATTTAAATAATCTACTCACTTGTTTCCCTGGCTCTAACAGTCTCCTATTCTTCATTCTGCTATCTTGATTCTAAAATGCAAACCTGATCACATCACTAGCAAAATTAAAATGCTACAACTGCTTCCCTCTGCTTTCGGGGTAAACTTCAAAGACCTTAGAATAAACATACACCTTTCAGGACCATGTTCTTGACTCCCTCTCCGGTTTTATTTATCACTTCCTCGTAAATGCCCAGCTATAAGAAACGACTTTCAGGCCCACCAGTTTTGCCATGCTCACTTTTATTCCCACGATCAAGAATGAGAATAAGAGCTTTCATTTAGCTAATTACGGCAACTTCAGAGTTTAGCTCCTTTTGGGAAAAATTTTCTCCATATCCATATCCCCACTCCCAAATTAGTTCAAGTACCTATTCAATCTGTTCTCCTAGCAGCCCACAGTTACCTTTGTCACAGTTTTTATTATACAGAATTGCAACTGTGTGTGCTCAATGAAGGGCTCCCTTGGTGGCTCAGTGGTAAAGAATCTGTCTGCAATGCAGGAGACACTGGGCCAGGAAGATCCCCTGGAGAAGGAAATGGCAGTTCACTCCAGTATTCTTGCCTGGGAAATCCCACGGACCAAAGAGCCAGGCAGGCTGCAGTCCATGGGGTGGCAAAGAGTTGGGACACGATTTAGCAAAGAGTTGGAATGAATGTTAGCTGAAAAAACTTCTCCCAGCCATGTGCCTTCCAAAGCACATTAAATCATTTTATATAATTTCATAAATAAGTGATGATGGCTGACTACTGCAAAATCATAAAATGGTCTTTTGAGTAAAAATGGTAAACTGACCACTCCCATTCAGTGTCTCTCCCTCCTGGAACACCTATAAAATGCAACACAAAAGTATAAACCACCAGCATACCTGAGAAAAAGGTTTCTACACATTTTTAGAAAACAGAACTAGCTGTAGAGTAAGAAGTGATGAGGCATAAGAAGTGAGGGCGTAGAAAAATGAGGTTAGGAATATGCAGAAAGGATATTACACCTGGGAAAGATTCTGTCTTGCAGAATCACTGAGAAGTTTGATCCAAGAAATGATGAGTATAAAAGAGTGGAATGAATAGTGGGGTTGAAATTAGAAATTCAAAGTGTGAATACCAAACACTCAATACCAACTCCTCTGCAATCCTGATATGGCAGACAAGGCACCATGCCCCAGGCAAAAAAATATGAGTGCTTCTCTAAAGAGTTACAATATCCTGGCAAAAAGATTCCAGCCTTCTGACACTTAGGACTCCTCCCACCCTAACAGCCAGCTCCTTATCTACAGACTTTACTAAACTTGGGATAAACTCAGATAATTCCTATCTATGTACAGAGAGCTTTCCCGATCAATTTTTTCATACCCCATTCTTAAAAATGAATAGACAAAGAAATAGTATCTGATTTTTAGGAAAGTCAGAATCATAAAAGAGAAAAATCAAGTTAACTAGAGGAAGGAAAAAGACTCTAGATCTTGCAGAAAGCAGAACAAAAAGCTCAAGGTTGATCAAACATGGAAAACATAGGACACCCAGAGAGGATCAATCCAGGAGGTCTGACATCTGATTAATCCATTTCCAAGAAAGAGAAAAAGGAAATAAAGAAATTAGCTCAGAATTAAAGAATAACAGTCTTCAGGCTGAAAAAGCCCTCCAACTAACCCATAATGAATGCAAAACAAAACCTCACCTATAAATACAACACTGCAAAATGTCAGAATATCACAAAAAATATCCCTAAATGCTTCCACAGAGAAAAGAGAGTCACCTACAAAGACAGTGCAAAGATTTCATATCAACAACATTAATGACAATGGACTAATGCTTTTTAAGCTGTTAGGGAAAATGATTTTCAACCAGCCAACCTATCAGAGCAAATGTAAAAATAGAATAAAGACATTTTAAAATAAAGAGACCCAGAAAAGTCATCCTTCACAAACTCTTCTTTTGGGAAATTAATAGAGGATATGCTCCAGCAAAACAGGAGAGAAAACCAAGAAAAGACATGGAAATTGGCAAATAGAGGCCTTAGCTCAGAAAAGCAGTAAAGAATAGTCCTAGGATGAGATCTAGAGACCTAAAATAGAGCAGAATACAAGCTCTGATAGGAAGGTCTATGGGGGGAAAACATGGATTTGGAATATCTGATGGGATACAGAATCTAGAGAGACACACACACACACACAAAAAGCTAAAAGCAAACAATGCAAGAAAAACAGAAATTCTAGGAAAAAATGAAAACTCTCTACTATAACCATAATTACTATGAGACCTTGTAGTGAACAATGTTCACACAATTATGATGAATGTTTTGCTTATTAATTTTCAGCCTTTAAAGCAAAGAAGACTTAATTATAATTATAGGATGGAATACGTATTGTCAACCCAGAAGATGTAGAAGTGATGCTGAGAAACTGAAAGGACAGAAGAAAATAATGGGAAAGAATAGGAATGTTATTATAAAATAGTAAATTTAGTATTTCAAATTACAGGATAATCAACAGATTTTAAAGTTATAATATTGGGAGAAGAGGGTAGGGAGGTGACTATAAGCTAAATCTTCATTTGTCACATGAAAAAGTTAACAGATATTTCCTTTTATCTTTTATTTCTGGTCACGCCCCACAGCAGGTGGGATCTTAGTTCCCCAAACCAGGGATCAAACCTATGTCCCCTGCAGTGGAAGAATGGCATCTTAACCACTGGACTGCTAAAGTCCCAACGAATATTTCTTATACAGTATAAATCAAGAAAGAATAATATGAGTACATTAATCAGAAATATAAAGGCAAATACCAAAAAAAACAGCTAAATGAGTTAAAAGAAACTGCATCTAAGAAGTGGGATTCACTGGCTATAATTATATGATGGGAATTCCCTGGGGGTCCAGTGGTCAGGACTCAAAGAGTTTTCACTCCCAAGGGCGTGGGTTCAATACCTGGATGGGGAGCTAAAATCCCAAAAGCTGCACAATGTGGCCAAAAAAATAGTAATTAAAGAACTATATACTTTAATAACCATGTGCGCATGCATGCTCAGTTGTGTCTGACTCCATGACCCCATGGACTGTATGTAGCCCACAGGCTCCACTGTCTATTTTCCAGGCATGAACACTGGAGTTGGTTGCCATTTCCTCCTCCAGGGGATCTTCCTGACCCAAGGATTGAACCCATGTCTCCTGCATTGGCATGCAGATTCTTTACCACTAGTGCCACCTGGAAGACCCCTCTATAACTGTATACAGTGATTAAAACTAAAAGAGAAAAAAAAAGTACAAAACAGTTTCTTTCAGGAGCCGTTATAGACAAATGTTCAAAATCAATCCCTCTTCCAGTTGAGGTGGGGAAAAAGAGAGTCCTTAACTGAGTTGATAAAATTCAGTAACAACATTTCCATGTAGTTTTCTGGGTTAAAAAAAAAGTATACATACATACTTCTGCCCAATTTTATATCCTGTAACAGTAACTTGGCACATAGCCACTGAAAAACTGAGACATATGGCTTTAGCAAAGCTTAATTTGGTCTTCAGCATCAGAAAGACCTAGGTCTTTTTTTTTTTAAGATTTATTTATTTGACTGCATCAGGTCTTAGTTGCAGAATGTGGGAATCTTCAGCTGTGGTATGGAACTCTTATTTATAGCATGTGGGATCTAGTTCCCTGACTAGGGATCGAACCCAGATCCCCTGCATGGGGAGCATAGAGTCTCAACCACTGTACCACCAAGGAAGTCCTCAGAAAGACCTAGGTCTTAATTCAGATGCCTTCGCTTGCTAGCTATATACTACCTTGTACAAGGTTACTAACCTTCAAAAAGTAACTTGATCTGTGAACTAGAGATAATAATGCTTATCCTTATAGAGTTAAGTAACACCTATAAACAGTCACAGATATACAGACAGCAACTGATGTAAGACAGTATTAATCATTACTTACATTGGCCACCACTTTTACTTCTTTGTACTGTGCTTCATAGAAAATTCCAGCATTTTCCAGTGCTTCTGTTAGCGAGGGCCCATTTTTCACTTGCTTATCCAGTCCATTCACGAATTCCTCTAGCTTGGCACTCGCCTCTTCAAATTCTTTGGAGAATTTCTTCCCACCTGTCTTATCTAAAATAACAAGAGGAAGTATTCTATAATATTCTTAGTCTCATAGTTACACTTTAAAGAAGCTTCCCTAAATCACAAAAAAAATCACAAAACAGATTATTTAAGCGTTTCATGTGATCCTGCTCGACTGAAGCAAGAGTGCATCATGAAGGCACTTGTAATTAAGATAAAATCCAACTAAATGAAAGTTTGCTGATCGCTTTAATTCACAAATTTGATGTCACACTGCTACGCAGGAATAATGGAATGAGGCTCAATTCTATACACTTACAAACCATTAAGGTTTTTTTTGTTTTTTTTTTTTTACATATCATTAACTTTTACACTATAGATTATAATAAGATGTTTCCCTTTGAGGAAAAAACAGAGGCTCAGAAAAGTAAAGATAAAGTGACCTCTACGTGTATCATGCTTAGAAATTCTTTCCTATCTGAAGGTCCTTGGTAATTTGAGATTAGAAAAGTACCATGAATTGTTTTTCAACAGCAGTGACATTACCAACTTTTATTTATTCTCCTAAGTACTTTCTGCCCAGTGATGTTGGAATATGGCCTTAGGTATGGATATAAATTTAGGCTCTGCATTTCATTAGCTGTGGAACTTGGGCAAGTTTCTTATCTCCTTATGAAGTCTCAGATTTCTTATGTACAAAGTAGAGGTTTTTAACATGCTTCTGGGTTGTTCTGAGGATTAAAGTAGATAATGTATGTTCAATTTAAAGCATGGTACAAGAACAAAATAGGTGCCACAACAAACAGTTGGGTAGTTATTTACTTATTATTTCGAAAATATTTATCAAGTATTTATTACATACCAGGTATTGCTCTAGGCACTAGGATACTGGAAGAACAAAATAAGGATAATTTCTACTTTCGTGAGATTCACATTCTAATAAATTAATATGATTATTATTTATAATCTACAATGTAAGGGAAAGAAAGCAAGTGATTAGACTTTATGAGGTATTACAGTGACCTTATTTATTTGGGCTGTGCTGTTTGGCTTGCAGGATCTTAGTTCCCTGACCAGTGGTCGAACCCAGGCCCACAGCAGTGAAAGCGCCATGTTCCAACCACTGAAATTGCCAGGTGGTTCCCTACAGTGACCTTACTGAAAAGTGAACACAAACCACATAATCATACACATGAAATACACCTGTCCATCATAGCCTGATACATCAGGAAACGACTAGAAGTGGGGAAAAGGATAGAATATACTTATTAAAAATTTTTTTTTAAATTTATTTTTCTCCAATTTTATGGAGATATAAGTGGCATGTAATATTGTTTAAGGTGTACAATTTGAAGGCTAGGAATTTATTTATGAAATTGACATGCATGAAATCACCACCTGGGGAACAGGTGCCACAACAGTTCTCTACAACCTGAGGTTCTCTTTATGGAAGCAGTCAGTCTGATTACTTGAAATAACACATCTGGAAAGAGAACCTGACTTACTCTATTTAGAAGGATGTAAGATTACCTTTTAAGCACTTGAGAGTTTCTGTGCTGCACACATCCACCCTCATGGTTGACAGCTGTTTTTCTTTCAATTCTATCTGGTCTTCTGAGCGCTTGTATAGCAACAGCTCTTCAATGAGGGCCTGAGACTGAACATGGACCAGGGTCATACTTCATTTACAAAACCATCCTCTTACTCTAGCTTTCTACACAAAAGTAAAACAGGACTAAAACCTAACAAAACCATGAGAAGCAAAAACCTTCATATTTCCTCATAATCAGGGATATCAATATCAATTCTTGTATCAAAACCATATTTTCAGTTATATAATTTAAAAGATCTTTTTCATGTTATTCAAAGATAATTTATGGATATAAAGTTAAGATTGAGAGGAGGAGCCAAGATGGCGGAGGAATAGGACGGAGAGACCACTTTCTCTCCTACAAATTCATCGAAAGAACATTTGAACGCTGAGCAAATTTCACAAAAGAACTTCTGATCGCTAGCAGAGGACATCAGGTGCCCAGAAAAGCAGCCCATTGTCTTCGAAGGGAGGTAGGACAAAATATAAACGATAATAAGGGAGTCAAAAGAGCTAGGGACGGAGACCCGTCCCGGGAAGGGAGTCTTAATAGAGGAAGTTTCCAATCACCAGGAAACCCTCTCACTGGCGGGACTGGGGGAAGTTTTCGGCACTGTAACTGGGAGGAAAAATTAAACAAGGCCCACAGATTACGTGCCTAAAAGCAACTCCCAGCAGAAAAGTACCCCAGACGCCCGTACCCGCCAGCAACAAGCGGGGCGGAACGGAGAGGAGCGGGCGGCATTGCTTAGGGTGAGGACCGGCCCGAAGACCCTGAGAGCAATCGGAGGGAGCTTNCATGAGACAAGTGCTCGGGCCTGGTGCACTGGGAAGACCCAGAGGGATCGGGTGGAGAGGGAGGTGGGAGGGGGGACTGGGATGGGGAATACATGTAAATCCATGGCTAATTCATATCAATGTATAACAAAAACTACTGTAATGATGTAAAGTAATTAGCCTCCAACTAATAAAAATTAAAAAAAAAAAGTTAACTGTCAAAATAAAATCATTGGAATTCAAAAAAAAAAAAAGATTGAAACAGGCAAAGATCCACTTATCTCTTCTTTCAATTTGAATTACTCTTATTATGTTAACTTTAAGCAAATTTTAATTGTTTCATAGGAAGATGAACGCCTTCTTTGGGTTTAATACAGAATTCAGCTGGCATACAGATAAAACTCTTGAGTTTTAGAGTTTCAATATGTTTAAAATATAATGGATGCGCAATTCAATAAAAAGAAATCTTACAGGATGAACTATACAGAAAATTATAAAACAAAAGGGTTGGATAACACTTTGGCACATGGGACATATTCTGTAACTTACTCGAAATTCAGCAACTATCTTAGACTTGAGAGCGGCTTTTGGATTCGTGGATGCTGTTGAATTAAACAAAAGGTTATTTGAGAATACAGACACAAAATGTTGACTAATTATTTAGGAAAATTTCCAGCTTTATAGTTGAGGGTATACTCTTTGAATATATGTCAAACATGCACATTTAAATCATAGTATAACTCTCAGAACATATAGCGGATATGTAAATTGAAAACTCCCAAGTTTAAAAATATGTACTATTTAGATAGGTTTAACCTACTTACCTCCAACATACCCTGTAAGTCTGAAGTCCTAGAATTACTGACTTGGTGATACATGAAGTATCTTTCTGCCTATTCTGACTGAGTGTAAGAGGATCTTTTCTTGTGTGTGTGTGTGTAAGAGGATCTTAACACCTCAAATTAAGAGTGTCCAGGAGCAGGACATCCAATTAATCCTGATCACTGGCTGAAGAAAATTTACTTCCAAGCATCAACTCTATTCCTATATACTTAGTTTTCAATTTCTTTTTTCTGCTGAATCAATTCAAAGCAAAAACAGGCAGGAAAAGTTCTAAGTACAATACTACTGTGGTTGAACTTTGGCTGAAATGATGACTCTTGCTGTTCCTAAGCATGCAACTTATGACCAAAAGGATGTGAAAGGACTCCCTTAATCATGATGAATATCACATGCTTGCTGGAGCAAAACCATCCCAAGTGTCTTGTTTCACCTCCCAATTCTGTCTTTTACCTTGTTCCCTCCACACCTTCAAATCTTTCTCAATATTCCTGAGTTTGGCCCACAGCAGCCTATCACATGCAGTATTCCTCTCCTGTGACCTCATGCTGGGTAAACAGGATAAACACAGCAGGAGCTCCTGTTAGGAGAACAGCTTCTGGCCAGGATTTGAGGCCCACGTCTAATCTGGGAGAGTATCTCCCCAAATCTGAAGGATTTCATGGCTCCCACAGAAATGCTTCTTAATGCCTAGTCTCCTCTTCAGCTCTGTTGTTTAATGCCAGCTGCCTCTAACTTCATATAGCTTTGAACCTTAAAGTTACCCTGGGCACTATCACGTATTATTTTCTTCTTCCAATCCCCCAACTACTCTTGAATCTTCACACATTTAAACCCTTTTTCTGCATTTCCTTTGTTTAAAAGTAGTTTTATTTTTATTTTTTTTTAAAGAAGTAACTCCATGATGGCTTGGTTAGTGTAAGTCACTGGGAGCCTCCCAGGCCTGGAAAACACAGGCTTGCCCATGGTTTATGCCAGGTACGAAGTCAAATGGTCTACATTTTCTTCTGCTCCAAAAAGAGGAGGTAATTTATATTAGTTGAGATTTTTTTCCTTACTTTGTGATTTCTTCCACTGCTTATTCGGTTGTTTGTTCAGATTTTCTTTCAGCTGCTTCTGAGTTTTGAAAGTGGTACCTGGAAAACATTTCAGTTTTGCAATCTGGCGTTATGGGAAGCTGTTCTGTCTGTCCACTTCAGTGTCAAAGTTGAAAAAAGGCAATCCGAGACTGTGTGTTGTTTCTTTCTTTCCTTTTCTTTTATGTTTATAAAAAGATAAAAACACCCACCAGATCTAAGAAGCTGTCAAATAAACATGATTTCTGTATCAAAGAAATAACTAATTTGGAAAAAAATAGGGTAGAAAGTTTAAAAACACTAGGTAACTCATTCAAATGAAGAATTTAACAGCTTCTTAGAAGATGCTATTTTTAAAGCAAATTTCTAGTCAAATTACAGTCATGGTATCTTCAACTTCTATTCACTGACTTTATTACACGGATCTAATACATAGAAACTAAATAATTTTAAAAACACCTGTACAAAACTTACTGCAAATCTAAACCAAAGGAGGCTGAAGAATACAAATATATGCTTACTGTATCAAACAATTTAGTGAAAACTGACACCTTGTCTAAAAATTCTCCCAAAAGTAATAGGACAGGGCAGTAACTATTAAACACAAAAGATGAATAGTTTAAAGCACTCAAAGTAAAACAAATGCAGAAAAATAATTAATGATCATCACTTAATACGCTTGCCTTTTTTTAGTCAAACACACACACACACACCAATTCAACCCTCTCCAAACCATTCTACTTAAATTTTAATGCAAACAGATTTATACAGTTATTTAATTTTAAACAAATAGGGCCAGATCCCAAACTTTGTCTTTCATTAATAAGCAAAAGGACTAGATCTATAAAATAATTTTAAAGACTGAATAATGACCCAATCTTTCTTTACGGAGAGAAAGGACACTTACTCAAAGCTTCTCTTAATGCCATAATCATTTCTTCTGGGTATACATTTCTATCTTCCCAGATTTTAAAGATTCGTTCTACAGATTTAGAGACAGATGGATCCCTGAGAAGAAAGAAAAAGTGACACATAAAAATGTTAAACTTGCGTCTCAAACTAGAATTCTGAAAATAAAATTGTCAACAAAATTATTTTCCAGTGACTCACCTCATGGTCCAGTCAGTGGTTAAGAATCCACCTGCCAATGCAGGGGAAAGTGAAAGTCGCTTAGTCGTTTCAGACTCTTTCTGACCTCATGGACTATACAGTCCATTGAATTCTCTAGGCCAGAATACTGGAGTTGGTAGCCTTTCCCTTTTCCAGGGGATCTTCCCAACCCAGAGATCGAACCCAGGTATCCCACACTGCAGGCAGATTCTTCACCAGCTGAGCCACCATGGAAGCCCAATGCAGGGGAACAGGGTTCCATCCCCGGTCTGGGAACTAAGACTCCACATGCTGTGGGGCATCTAAGCTCACATGCCCTAGAGCCCTGCTCCACAAGAGAAGTCACTGCAAGGAGCAGGCCGCGTATCACTTGTAGAGTAGCTCTCACCCATTGCAACTAGAGAACGATATAGTACACAGCAATGAAGACCCTGTGCGCCACAACGGACACCCAGCACAGGCAAAGATAAATAAATATCTCTTCATGTTTATTTTAAAACATTTTTTCCGGATGTCTAGGGTTAAAATCTTAAAAAGCCTTGTTCAACACTTTTTATTGGTAACATAAATGAGGTTATGGATGACATATTGAACTTTAATACTGGTTTATAAGTTTCATGAGTACCTTATATTTCTACTTCTGTATACATTCATGAGCATACTCATAATCAAAGTTTAAGTTTCCATCCATCACCATACAGCTGACTCCCTTTATCCATTTCACACTTTACCACCCTCCCACACTGGTAACCACTACTTGGTCCTCTGTATCTGTGTATGTGTGTTTGGTTATTTATTATAATTTTTAAAACACAGTCTATATATGAGTGAAAACATAAGGTACCTCTTTCTTTACCTGACTTATTTCACTTAGCATAATATCCTCAAGGTCCATTTGTTATCACAAATGGCAAGATTTCATCTTTTTTTAAATGAGTGGTACTCCATTGTGTGTGTGTGTGTGTGTGTGTGTGTGTGTGTGTGTATACACATACATATATATATGCATATATATCTCGGTTTACACTCCACCAGCAGTATATGAGGATTCCATTTTTTCAAATCCTCTCAAACACTTGTTATTTCATGCCTTTTTGAAAACAGTCATTCTAACGGATATGAGGTGATATCTGTGTTTTTTCATTTCCCTAAAATTGGTAATGTTCAACATCATCTGCCTATTGTTCATTTGTATGTCTTCCCTGGAAAAAATGTCCATTCAGCTCCTCTGCTCATTTTTTAAAGCAAGTTATTGGTTTTTCTGTTGTTGAGTTGTATGGGTTGTTTATATTTTGGGTATTAACCCCTTATCAGATATTTGATTTGCAGATCTCTTCTCCCATTCAGTAGGCTATGTTTCTGTTTTATTGATGGTTTTCCTTATTGCACAGAAACTTTTTAGTTTGATGTAGTCCCATTTGTTTATTTTTCCTTTTGTATTGCTTGCCTGAGGAGACATATCCAGAAAAATAATGTTAAGACCAATGTCAGCGTGTACAGCCAATGTTTTCTTCTAGGAGTTTTATGGTGTCAGATTTACAATAAATCTTTAATTCATTTTGAGTTAATTTTTGTGTACAGTATGAGTCCAGCGGCCTAGTTTAGCTTTTTTTTTATGTTGCTCTTGTTTCTTACCCCACCATTTACTGAAGATACTAGCTTTGCCCCATTGTATATTCTTTGCTTCTCTGCTGTAAATTAGTTGTACATAAATGCATAGATTTCTGGGCTTTCAATTCTGTTTCACTGATCAATGTATCAGTTTTTCTATCAGTACCATCCTGTTTTTTGTTACTGTGGCTTTGTAGTATCATTTGATATCAGGTTATGTGATGCCTATACTTTCATGTTCTTTTTTCTCAGTAATGCTTTGGTTATTCGGGTTCTTTTGTGGTTTCATATAAATTTTAGAATTTCTTTTCTGTTTTGGTGGAAAACATCCTTTGGATTTTGATAGGGATTGCACTGAATCTATAGATTGCTTTGGGTAATATGAACACTCGACAATGTTAATTCTTTCAATCCATGAGTTTGAAATATCTTTCCATTTATTTGTGTCTTCTTCAATTGTTTTCAACAATGTCTTATAGTTTTCAGGGTACAGGTCTTTTACCTCCTTGATTAAATTTATCCTAGGTATTTCATTCTTTTTTGTTGCGATTCTAAATGGGATTGCTTATTCTCTTAATTTGCTTTTCTGCCATCTCACTGTTAATACAGAAATGAAATTGATTTTTGTATATTGATTCCGTATACTGAAACTTAACTGTATTTGCTTATTGTTTTGAATAGGCTTTTGGTGGAGTTTTTAGAATTTTCTCTATATAAAATTATGGCTTCTCCATTTTTTGACTGTTTTTTTTTTAAATTGAGCTGAATGAGCTATTCATATATTTTGGAAAATAAACCCTTGTCAGTCACATTACTTGCAAATACTTTCTCCCAGTCCATAGGTTGTCTTTTCATTCTGTTTATGGTCTCCTTTGCTGTGCAAAAGCTTCTGAGTTTAATTATGTCCTGTTTGTTTGGTTTTGCTTTTATTTTCTTTTGCCTTGGGATATTGACTAAAGAAAACATTTATGTCAGAGAATGTTTTGTCTATGTTTTCTTAAAGTTTTATGGTGTCAAGTCTTCCTCTTTAAGCCATTTTAAAGTCTTTTTTCTGGGGAGGGCTATGCAGGGTGAGTAGTTGTGGCACATGGGCTTGTTGTCCTGTGGCATGTGCAATCTTCTTGGACCAGAGATCAAACCTGTGTCACCTGCATCGGCAGATAGATTCTTGACCACTGGACCACCAGGGAAGTCCATTAATCATTTTTTAAATTTATAACTCAGTGGCATTAGTTATATCCACAATGTTGTACAATCACCACCCCATTTCCAAAAATTTTCAATGCCCTAAACATACTCTGTACTCATTAAACAATTAACTCCCTATTACTCCTTCCCTTCAACTCCTGACAACTTCTACTTTCTGTCTCTATGGATTTACCTAATCAATACATTTTATAAAAATGGAATTATACAATTTATTCTTTTGTGCCTAGCTTATGTCAGCATGTTTTCAACATTCATTCATGCATACTGTGTATCAGATACGATACTATGTATCAATTATTTTTCTTAAAAATTGTGGTAAAACAAACATAAAATTTACCATCTTAACCACTTTAAGAGTATAGCTCAGTAGTAATATATACATTTATACTGCCATGCAATCAACCTCTAGGACTCTTCAGCCTGAAAAACTGAAATTCTATGTCCATTAAATAAGATCTCCCTATTTTCACTACAAACCACAACTCTACCTTCTGTTTTTATGAATTTGACCACTGCAGTTATTTCATATAAGCAGAATCATACAATAGTTGTGCTTTTTTGATTGGTTTCACTCAACATAATGTCTTGTAAGAGTCATCTATTTTGTAACATGTGTTACAATTGTTTCCTTTTTACGGTTAAATGATACTCTTTTATATATATACCATATTTTATCTGTTAATCTAAAAATCAGACTGGTTCCTTCTTTTGGTTATTGTAAATAGTGCTATTAGGAATATGGGTGTACAAATATTCATTTGATTTCCTGCTTTCATTTCTTTTTTTGTGTATAATCAGGAATAGATTTGCTGGATCATATAGTAATTCTATGTTTAACTTTTTGAAGAATCATCAAACTGTTTTTCCATAGCAGCTGCACCATTTATACATTCCTACAGAAGTGTAGTTGTTTTTCCCATCCTCTCTACCACTTGTTATTCTCTAGTTTTGTTTTTAAATTAGTCATTGTAGTAGGTGTGAACTCTTTGGCTGCTTTTAAAATCTTTTTTGGTAATTTCATTACAATGGATGACTAGGTGTAACTTTTTAAAAACTTATCCTGCTTAGTATATGCTTCCTATCGTTTGCAGATTCATGTTTTACTTAGTTGTTTCTGTTTTTTTTTTTTTTTTAAATCACTTTCAGAGCATTCTCAGCCATTACTTCTCTGAAAGAACTCAGAAGCACTCTCCTTCTGGATTCTGATTTGATTTTAATTAGGCCTCTCATTCTAAACTCCATTTTACTACTTCCTTCTTTCTCTGCTGCATTCTAATTTCTTCAGAACTATTTTTTAGCTTAATCTTTTTCCTTTCTAGTAATTCCTACCAGGTCTTTTGTCCAAGTATTTTATCCATTGTTCATTTCATTCCATTTAATCTTCTTATAACATCTTTTATGATTGTCTTAAATGCCCTGTCTGATAATTCAAGTATCTGAAGCTCCGTGAAGGACTCTAAATCTGCTGATTCTCCTTGCAGTGCTTTGTTTCCCAATGTACTTGGCAACCTTTGACTGTCAGCACCTATTTTTTTTTGTTTGATCTATGAGATTCTTGGTGACCTAAGTAGGAAATGTGTTCCCTTAAGAGCAAACCTAAAAAAAAACAACAAAAAAGAGCAAACCTATACTGGTAGCCAGGGATATTTATGACTCAAGACCTCTTTATTCCCTCTCCACAGCCCAGGTCACGTGGTATTAGCAAGATAGGCATACTAATTAATGTCAGCTCTGCCATTCAGCAACCACTGTTGCTGGTTCAGCTTATGTTTTGTCAAGAATGTTACTGCTTTATAAAAAAGGACCGTTTAGAATAGATGGCTGGCCATTCAGCCAGAAGTCATCATAATTATCTGTAAATGTCTGCTTTCAGAGGTTGTAACATTTATTGTTGCTTCTTCAACACCTACAAAGTGTTCATTGAATAGTAAATGAATGAATGACAATTAGACTTTGTCATTTTCAAACCCAACTATTCATTATGAAGTCCCAACAGCTATTCACCAAAATCCTCAAGTAAAATATGCTGGAGAAATAGCAATTGCTAGAAAATCATATAAATAAGACTAGGGTAAAAT